GTCGTCCTGGTTTGTACTCGACCGTAAAGTTGTATTCTGCAAAAAGAATGACAACCACCGCGCCATTCGTTGTGAAAGGTGCGGGCTGTTCCACTGCCGTGCGTAAGGACGCATGGTCAGTGTAAACAATGAAGGGTCTATCTCCTAATAGATAGACTCTGAACTTCGCGAGTGCATACTTCATGGCAAGGATTTCCTTGTCATGCACTGGATAGTTCCGCTCATCTGGTTGCAGCTGACGCGACTGATAGCGAAAGACGCGTTCAACGCCTTCAAGATCGTACTGCATTAATGCACAGCCGATTGCGAAATCGCTGGCATCACAGACCACATGAAATGGCCTGTCCTGATCGGCTATTGCTAGGACTGGAGATTGTATCAAGATCTGCTTGATACCATCAAAGGAGCGTTGACATTCAGCGTTCCATAACCACCTCTCGTTCTTTTTCAACAAACGAGAGAGGTGTACAGTCATCTCGGCGTAATTGCGTGAATACTTATGCAAATACGCCGCTAGCTAAGGAATTTTCGAAGACCTTTGACATCGACCGGCACGGGCCAGTCGGTGATCGCCTTGATCTTTTCGGGATCAGGACGTACACCGTTCTTACCAACGATGCACCCAAGAAGTGGTATTTCGCTTGCTGCAAATATACACTTCTTGAGGTTTGCATACAATTGATGCTTTCGCATGATTGTAAGAACTTGTCGGACGTGGTACCTGTGAACCTCAACGTCCGACTTTTTCCATCCATAGCTCGACTATGGATGAATACGTCATCAGAAATAACTCGGCGCGAATTCTCGTACTGGCCTCAACAGATGTGATACACACCTGTTGAACGTGGCAGGGGCATTACTGAGCCCTTGTGGCATTACTAGCCATTCCCAGAGCATGCCGCTAGGCGTGCTAACTGCGGTATAGGGTATATCCCGTTCCCGCATTAGGATTTGATAGAAGCCATCCATCAAATCCATGGACGAAAAGATGGTACTCTTTGACATACCATCAATGATTACGTCCTTCCTCGGTATCGGCGTCTGAGCCGGTACCGTTGCAGCGTTCAATTTGTTAAACGCGTGCACTATCCGCCACCCTCCTGTTGCTTTTCGCACACAGAAGGTCGGAGAGCTATGTGGGGAAGTTGATTCCCTCACATGGCCCGCTGCTAAACGATCGGCAAAGAACTTGTCGATCGCAAGTACTGTTCACGAGGCAGTGGCCACTGCTTCATGACACAGTACTTCGAGCCTGGTTTAAAGCTCGACTTCGTGTCGAATACCTTTATCCTTCGGTAATTCGCACGGAACAGTTTCAGGGAATACATCCTTGAATTCAAGCAAATCTTCATAGAGAGGATTTTCCTTGAGCGATTCCCATGATTGGGACTCATATCGCTCAATTCGTGTCTTTTCATCTAGGACACTCTCGTCCATAGATGAACTACTGAGAACTCTCTCGTTCTCAGTAAACACTGTTGCTGACCTTATGTCGGTTACATACTCGTCTTCAGCGACGAGTATGCAGATCTGCTTGACTTTGCCACTACGCAGATCACGCAAGAATCTTTTATGTTCGAGGCGTTGGCAACTGAGTGATCTCCGAAGTTAACTTCGGAGGCGCAATCAGATCAAGTGTATAAGCGCCTACACATGATCCGTTATTGACTATGACATTCAATGTCTCTGTCATTTCCTGGGGACTTATTCCCTCAGGCTTCGAAGGACTTATTCCTTCGTCTTCCCGGGGACTTATTCCCGCGGGTTTCGGGGAACTTATTTCCGCCGTATTTGTAATCTTGGGACTTATTCCCTTTACTTCCTCTAGCTGGGGTTGCGCAACCACAGCGAGATCCTCTACGAAAGACTCTCCAGTCGATCTAGGATTATCGTTTCGCTTAACCTGAGCGATCGATTGTTTCTCTTCTAGATGTTCCCCTCTAGGGATACATCTTTGTCCCAATCCACCCGACTTATTCGAGTGGTGGACCTTCGGCGCAGCCTGTGTTTCCTCACAGCCGCCGGAACTTTGCTCCGAAGTGTAACCGTTTGGTACACTAAGGTTTTTTGCAGTCGTACTAACGACCGTACCACAAGTGAGGCCATCGCACTCACTCGTAGTACATCCACACGCTTGTGGACGCTCCAAAACGTTCATCAGATGGCCATCTGATGAACAAGCGGCGCGGCATCGTTACTGTCCGATGTTGCCAGTTTACCCGTGGTTCGTACCTTCTGAGCCACGGTATTCCAGGATGACATCAAATTTGTCATCCAAATCCAATACGATAAAGTCATCGTCGTATTGGGTATCTTCTAGCGTATAGTGAATCTTCACTATACGCTTCATATTGATTACGGATGCGCCTGTCGCAAGACGTACCGTCATCCTCGTAGGAGGTGTGTCACATTCACTGAATTTAAAGTGACCATCTTCTAGCGATTGGCGTCGCACAAAATTGTTGGACGCCCCACAATCGACTAGAGCTCGAAGGGACAACTTATTCGTCACTTCGAGTTTCGAGGTAATGAGTGAGATCTCATTACCTAGAGCAGCAACGCACAATGTCTGTGTGTTGGGAGCAACCTTCATCAAGAGGCCTACAAATTCTCTTGACGTTGCTGGATCAGTAGGGTGCTCCGCACCTACTGATCCTGTCCCTTTTGACGGTCCATCCCGTTGTTGCGTCTTTGCACCAACTGCGGACCCTCGTCCCTGCCCCTTTCTCATGGGTGGACGGTCACTACGCCCAGTGTCGCGAGACACTGGACGAGGAGCACTACACTCGTAAGCGTAGTGTCCTGTCTTTTGACATCTGTTGCATCTCTGCAACTTCTTGTAGCCTGTAGAGCGAGCCTTCTCGCTCTCTACATAACAGAGTTCCATCGGCTCTGGACCTCCGTTGTCATATCGTCTCGGTTGACGATATGATGTCGAGCTGGCGCGAGCCTGTCTCAGACTGAAGTCTTCCTGCTCCGCAATTGAAATGGCTTGTTCTAGTGAATCTAGTTCAAGCCGGAACAGGTGAGTCTTGACGGGACCATCCGCAAGACCCTGCATGAACACCGAAACCAACGTGTGTTCATCCACCGGATTGGAACTTATACAACTCGTGAGATGTCGTATATGTTGAGCGTAAGCGTGCACATCACGCTTACCCTGTTTGAGCTTAAAGAGTTCGGTTCGAGCTCTGAACTCAGCTCTAGGCGGTTCAAACGTTTGTCTGAGCCGCGACTTGAAGACTTCCAACGACCCAAACGCGTATGGGTCGTGCAGCTTGAGCCCCAGTGCCCAAGCCTTGGCACGTCCTGCCAGATTTGACTGGGCAAATGCAACTTGCATATCCCCGTCGTCGATGCGACGCGCCCTTATGGCGTCATCCAATTCGACGAAACATCTCAAAAGGGAGTCCTCTTCGACTCCCCTATACTTGGAGATGTCAATCTTCAAGGTCTCGGGTCGACGCGAGTGCATCGACCCACCAGCAGCAGCCTGCTGCTGTCTCAACAGTTCAAACTGTTGAGCACCTTGTTCTCTCAACAACTCTGCTTGTTGAGAACCTTGTTGGTGAAGCAAGGCTACTTTCTCGCGTTCTGCGTCAAGTTCATTTTGAATGAACTTGGCGATAGTAGCATGTTGGGCATCTCTATTGAGAGCCTCTAGCATGACGCTAACAGCATGGATGCCCATGGTCGAACCCATTCGTTCAACCGCATCCCATTCGACATCGCTCAAATGGGAGTAGCCGTCACGCGTAGCGTGAAAGCTTTGGTCATCTTCATCATCCAACATATTCATGTTGGATGTGAACGCGGTCCTTGGACGGACTACAAAGTGCTACCAGGTGTAACGGGGCACCCTGAAGCTTGTACTGGTGACAGTACAAGCTACTTATTCTGATAACAGAATAAGGCGGTGCCTCGTAACTTCACGTACACTCGTACGTGCAGAGGAAGACGGTAAGAAGAAGCGAGTACTTGGTTAGAGTAAAAAGTAGAACTGTATTTATAATAGTTAATGTCTGCAATAAATCACTATTTATCTTCATCTAACTATGTCTAAATACAAATGTGTAAATCAGTTATCTGCTCACCACTCATTGCGTGCGTCTGTCGTGGCGCGTCTTCGTTGGTTGATATAATGGCCTATATCAACCAATTAGGAACTACTTGGAAGTGCTACAGATTATTGTCCTTATGACAATATTCTGAGAATATAACTCTTATAGTTATATTCTATTAACAATTTCTTATAAATTGTTATGTAACGATTCACCCCGTTACACCTGCAATATAATCCATCTCGGATAATATTGGTAGGGAATTGTCATGCTAGACTATATCCCTATTGACACCGTTTGGTGTCAATATCATGTAACGGGCTACTTCGTTACATTGTGAGCATATCGTGCTTGTCCTGACATAATGTTTATACTTGCTAATGAGCTTACGTAAACTTTTTTGTAATCGGGGCATCTCGTTACATTGTATGTGTGACGGCGCACTGCTAACCTTGTACTGACATAGTACAAGTTTTTAGTGCCCCGTTACTTACTGTTTTTAATTCTGGCTAGGTTACATGCACAGGCAGTAATCACTGTGACAAGAGACGGCTTCGACCATATACATGGTGGTGGCACATATATTTAAATCGCACATGTAATGGTGTGGTGTGCAACAGTTAAGTTGATGCTGGTAGCCAGTCTGTTGGTCACTACTCGCGCAAAATTGAGGTAATTTCTTTATGTACGTATTCTGCTTTTATCCTGAATCGTCCTCATTTTAGTCTCACTTGAGCCCTACACGGAATATGCGGTCGTTGCATGATGCTAACAAACACACGTTACTCCCTGGCAAAAAAAAATTGTTGCAGCGACACCCCAACTGCATCTACATTAGCACCAATTCACCTAATGGTTCAATTACTTCACATTTTGCGCCTTCGGTCAACAACGACCAAGTGATGGGAATCTCCAAAGAGTCGGGTGACCGGTCCTCTTACCCTGATTGGGAAGTCCTTTTTGCGCACCACGCAATCAGCTGCTCATTGCGTGGTGCATGGTGAGGACTAAAGCTTTATTATTGTTTTTAATAGAGAAGTGCGCTGAGATAGCAAAAGCGCAATCCTAAAAATGCTTAAGTATAAACTTAGTTAAATATGCCCTGCATTTTTCAAATGGTGTGGAGAAGCACAACGTGTGGTCAAATGAGCGGTTCTTTGTTTATCGACGTACAAACAAGATCAGCCTTACCTTTTTGTGCTTATTGAGGCGACAACATCCATTTCGATCCGGCTGTGTACCCCGTGTGTGCATTTTATCCTACCATCAATGGTAAAAACACCTGCAACATGCATAATATCTTACACAACCGAAAGCGCTAATTTCACCTTGGACATGTCTCCCACTACATAAAAACTGCGCTGACTCGCGGTGACGACGGCGTTCGGACTCCTATAGTGACTTTTGCCGGTCTTTAGTGCTGGTGTTGCGACTTGCTCGCTAGAGCCGGCAGATGACGGGGCTAGAAGAAGATCTCCGCTGAACACTTGTACCGCTCTCGCGGCTCAACGTGAAGACCTGTCTGCACAAAAGTGGTGAGGAACCAGGGGCAATGTTCAATTGTACAATGTTCCTTGTGGTTAACATCCTCGTACTACAATGAAGGCCGCCCCCCTGGCAGTTGCGTGACTCTTAACGGTGTAAGCGCGTAATCGAGGGGTCTTCCACTCTCATTCTATGGTTTCTTTCGATTCACGTTCTGTGATGCAACACATCAACGACCGGTGCCGTCCGCACACCACAAAGACAAACTAAACAATTTCCTTAAAGCAGTCAATATCACGTAATGCAATTCTATACTTATTCTCCGTCCAAGGGCTCAGTCCGCTACAGTAAAGCGTGCACTACGCTGCAGCGTAGCGGGATGATACGAAGCAATGGAACAGCCCAAGTCGTCCAACTCCTCTGCCGCTACACTACCGAAACGTCAATGACACCGTCCAGTGCTGACAAGAGACCGAAGGGCGACAGCGCAATCAAATGGCGCGCTCCAACGCGCAGCGCAGGACAAGAAATGACACTCTCGTCCTTTTACACTCTCTTCAGTTGCAAGAAAGGGACGATAAACCCTTCCACACCACGGCCCACACCCCATCGACTTGGAACAGACACAACTCACGCCTTCACCACTTAGTTAATCCGCGCCACTTTGCTCGGCACAACCACCGGGTTGTCCTCCACCAACTTACGCTTGGCCGCCGTCTTAAAATTAAACCCGCACTCGTGCTCCTCCGCGTACCGATGCTTGCTGCAGAACGTGAAGCTGCAGCGGCATGTGACGGCCGTCAACCCAACCTTAGCCTTACACTCCCAGCAGCGTCGGCGGTTCACCTGCGCCACGTGTTGCAGTCCCATATGCTCCTGTCCAGGCTCCGTCTCCCCCTCGCTGCCCGCCACCGGAGTCACGCGCGCAGTCGCAGAGCGCGTCGACGACTTGGAGCGCTTGAGGCAGCTCTTCCGGAACGTCAGAGACGTCTGGGCGCTCTGCAGTGCGATTGGCGACGGCGACAGCACGTCGGACGACACGATCGCGCTGGCGGGAGAGACAGCGCTCGGCAGACAGTCGCTCGATGTCAGCGTCGGCGTCGAGGCCACGGCAGAGGAGGAGGACGAAGCGGTCGCAGTTGTGCTGGCAGACGAGACGCTGACGCTTGTGGCGGCCGGCGCGCTCGAAGGCGTCGAGGTCTTGGTGACCATCTCGGGAGCGTCGGGCGTGGGCGTTTCGTCGAAAACCGAGGGGGAGCTGTGCGCCATGGAGCGAAAGCGGAAATGAGGGAGAATTTCGGAAAGTCTGCGCGAGGGAGAAGGAGGGGAGGGGCAACGTTGCTAAAAACTCTTCTGGGACAGGGGCACCCAAGCATACAAAAACGCAGTGTGTAAAAAACTCGAGGAAGCCGGGGTGGTGTAACGACTGCGAATTTTGGCAAATCGGGCGACTCTGCGAAAAAGACTAGTGCAACCGACCAGGCGTGTACAGAGCGGATGGACTGCGCTGCTGCTACATGCCGCAAACGACGGCAGGCGACCATGCCACAACAAAAGCTTCGCGAGAGAAAGAGCATCCTTGCCGCTGCTACGACGAGGCGCTGCTCTGCTGGATTTGGCTGCTAACTAACGAAGCGCACCCAAGGCAAGCTGTCTACTCGTGTAATGTCTCTCGATTCTCTTGGTGACAGATGCGGCCGATACGTCGTCGCTGAAAACGCAGCGTATGCGGCTGGTTCGACGTGAAAAGGGCAGCTGTCGGCCACAGTGGCGCTTAGAGGAGACTCGCCGCAGCAGTAACGTTGAATGCTGGATGACCACATCGTAACCGGATGGATGTATGTACGGCTTGTATTTTACTTGTGCCATGCAGCCCTAGCCCTACGGACAATCGAAGGATGTGCTTAAACGTTCTTTGTGAAGATAGACGTCAATACTATAAGTAAGTTAGAGTTGAAACTGATTTTCACTTTGCAAAGCGATCGGAGCAACTGACCGTCGCCGACAACGCGGGAGAAGAGAAGCCTCAACTGGTTGAGCGCCAAAATTTTACACCAGTGTCCAATCAAAAGCCACAACGTCGTACTTACTGCACCAAAATAAAACAAGTAAAGGGGTTTACATAACATTTGGGTTGACGATTGTACTTTGTAGTTTCGTGTCCTACAACCTCGCATTCGATATAGACTTTTTGACATTGTTTCAATCGTACTGATACGCTGATCGTTCGTTACCACAGGGTGGCTCAGTTGGAAGTGAGCCTTTACACGACATGCAATTCGTCGCGCCTCGTGTTCTGATACACTTGCATCATCGAGTTCAGTACGAGTCTTAACCGACACGTCCATTATGCCAGCTATGCAGTCGTTTGTAAATTAAATGTGTAACGGGGCACCCTGAAGCTTGTACTGGTGACAGTACAAGCTACTTATTCTGATGACAGAATAAGGCGGTGCCTCGTAACTTCACGTACACTCGTACGTGCAGAGGAAGACGGTAAGAAGAAGCGAGTACTTGGTTAAAGTAAAAAGTAGAACTGTATTTAGTATAGTTAATGTCTGCAATAAATCACTATTTATCTTCATCTAACTATGTCTAAATACAAATGTGTAAATCAACTATCTGCTCACCACTCATTGCGTGCGTCTGTCGTGGCGCGTCTTCGTTGGTTGATATAATGGCCTATATCAACCAATTAGGAACTACTCGTAAGTGCTACAGAATATTTGTCCTTATGACAATATTCTGAGAATATAACTCTTATAGTTATATTCTATTAACAATTTCTTATAAATTGTTATGTAACGATTCACCCCGTTACATCACCCCCCTCCCTTAACCATCAGTCACTTTAGTGACTGATTGACTAAATGGATACTCGTCCCAAATCATTTGGGACGGGGTTTACACTTGTTGGTCCGCGTCCACTTTCCAACATCTCATTGCATGGTTAACAAGCCCATGCGATGCGCGAACAAGGCCGCCGAGAGCGCGTCTGCACGTCTCTGTGCGGACGCCGAAGCAGAAACCACAGCAACTGATGTATCATCGGTTGCTGAAGCGACTCAGCCTGTATCACCTGGTGATGCAGGCGCTGGTCATGAAGACACTCATGTCTTCACAGAGTATGAGCTCGGTGTCTCATACTCTCCTGATACGGATGACGGATCCGTATCGACGGCGATTGAATCTAAGCCGCCAGCCAAGCGTGGCATAGACGATGCTTTGCGTCGCATCATCTTTGGTATATCTG